CCGTTTCCTACGAATTGTATTCAAAAGAGTATTGCCATGAGTGTCAGTCTCTTTGCTTTAGAAAAATCGTCTCAGTCGTGTATCTAAGTGCTTGATTTCTATAGAAAGGAGAGTAGTTAAGAATGTATTTATAATAGTGAAAACGAATGATCAGAAGTATTTTGTGTTAAAACCCATTTCCTACAAATTGTATGAAAAAGAGTATTGCCATGAGTGTCAGTCTCTTTGCTTTAGAATAATATTTCTCGGTTGTGTGTCTAAGTGCCTGCTTTCTGTAGCAAGAACAATAGTTCTAAAAATGTATTTACGGTAGTGAAAACGAATGAACAGTAGCATTTTGCATTTAACCACGTTCCTTATGAAATGTATGAAAAAGCGACTTGCCATCCAGGTCAGTCAGGATGCTTTAGACAAATATGTGTCCCTTCTGTATCTAAGTGCATGCTTTCCTGTAGAAAACACTGTACTTCTTGCAATGTGTTTACTATAGTGAAAACGAACGAAGAGTAGCATTTTGCATTTCACCACATTCCTTATGAATTGTATGCAAAAGGGACTTGCCATCAATTTCAGTCAGGTTGCTTTTTAAAAATATGTGTCGCTTCTGTATCTAAGTGGTTGCTTCCTGTCGAAAGAACAGTACTTCTAGTAATGTATTTACTATAGTGAAAATGAATGAACAGTAGCATTTCACGTTTAACCACGTTCCTTTTGCGTTGTATGTCGAAAGGAAATGCCATGAATGTCACTCAGGTTGCTTTACAAAAATATGTTTGGCACCTGTATCTTGCATCCTGTAGAAAGAACAGTACTTCTCGCAAGGTATTTACTACAGTGAAAATGAATGAACTGTAACATTTCACATTTAACCCCGTTCCTATTGAGTTGTATGTAAAAGGGATTTGCCATCAATGTCAGTCAGATTGCTTTAGAAAAATATGTGTTGATTCTGTATCTAAGTGCTTTCTTCCTGTAGAAAGAACAGCAGTTCTAGCAATGTGTTTACTACAGTGAAAGGAATGAATAGAAGCATTTTGTGTAAAAACCCGTTCCCTATTACGGTTAGGTTTAGGGTTAGTGTTAGTGTTAGAGTTAGGGTTAGGGTTAGTGTTAGGGTATGGTTAGGGTTAGGGTTATATTTAGTGTTAGGGTTAGGGGTTAGGGTTAGGGTTAGGGTTAATGTTAGCATTAGGGTTTTAGGGATAGGGTTAGGGTTAGGGTTAGGGTTTTATGGTTAGTGTTAAGGTTTGGGTTATTGTTTGGTTTAGGGTAAAGTTCAGGGTTAGGGTTTAAGGTTAGGGTTAGGTGTTAGGGTTACTGTTAGGTTTAGGGTTAGGGTAAGGGTTAGGTCTTGGGTTAAGGTTCTAGGGTTATGGTTATGGTTATGGTTGGTTAGGGTTAGGGTTAGGGGTTAGGGTTAGGCTTAGGCTTAGGGGTTAGGGTTAGGGTTAGGGTTAGGGGTTAGGGTTAGGGTTAGGGCTTAGGGTTATACTTAGGGTTAGGTTTAAGCTTAGGGGTCTTGGGTTAAGGTTCTAGGGTTATGGTTATGGTTATGGTTGGTTAGGGTTAGGGTTAGGGGTTAGGGTTAGGCTTAGGCTTAGGGGTTAGGGTTAGGGTTAGGGTTAGGGGTTAGGGTTAGGGTTAGGGCTTAGGGTTAAGATTCTGGATTAGGGTTGGGTTAGGGTCAGGAAGATTAGTATTAGGGTTAGAGTTGGATTAGGGTTATGGTTAGGGAATGGGTTTGGGTTAGATTTAAGCTTAGTGTTAGGATATGGCTTAGGATTAGTGTCATTGGTTAGGGTTAGGTTTAGGGTTAGGGCTTTAGGGGGTTATGGGTTTAGGGGGTCAGGGTGAGGGTTAGGGTTAGTGCTGGGATTGGGGTTAGAATCAGGGTTTAGGATTAATTTTAGTGTTAGTGTTAGTGTTAGGATTAGGGATAGGGTTAGTGTTAGGGACAGGGTTAGGGTTAGGGTGAGGGGTAAGGGTAGGGTAGGGATAGGGGTAGGGGTAGGAGTAGGGTTAGGGGTAGGGTTAGGGTTAGGGGTTAGAGGTTAGGGGTTAAGGGTTAGGGTTAGGATTAGGGTTTGGGTAGGGTTCAGATGATTAGGGTTAGGGTAAGAGTTAAGTTTAGGGTTAGGGTATCGGTTAGGGTTTGTGTCATTTGTTAGTGTTAGTGTTGGGGCTTTAGGGTTTTATGATTTTATGGGGTCAGGGTTGGGGTTAGGGTTAGTTAGAGTTGAGGTTAGGGGTTAGAATTAGGGTTTAGGGTTAATTTCAGTGTTATGGGTAGTGTTAGGATTAGTGTTAGTGTTAGGGTTACGAGTAGGGGTAGAATTAGGGCTAGGTTTAATAGTAGTTAGGCCACTACTGTCATCACCTGTGCCCACTGCTGCTCTGTTTCTCTGCTAGGTGACCCTCCATATTGAAGTGGGAAGGCTGTCTCCAACTCCTTTGTCCATCTGGTGAGAGAGGGTCCATCTATTACATGTCACCTAGGGACAAGGATGCAGATGGCACAGTCTATGCTGCAACTTGAGAAGGTGAGCTGCACTCTCCAACCTCAGAGCTAGAATGACCAGGGGCTCTCATATCTAGAACATAGGGTTGCTGATGCCAAGCTGGGGTTCCTGCCTTCATTCACTCTTCTCTATGTAGCAGACAGCATCTTTCTTGCACAGGATGAGGCCTGAAATGATCCAGTTCTGATACTGAACCCTGGCTCTGTCCTGTGGAGGATTGTCAATACAGAGTAAACTATTAAACTGAATTCAAGGCATTTGCACAGAAAAGTGTGCAAAATTTCCATGGGCTTGGCTTTTTCATTTATTGACAACCCCCAATTCTGAAAAGTCTAGCAATCTTTCATAGAAATCACCTGTTCAAAAATGGTCAGGGGATTAAAGTGCTGTTGAACATATTTTGTCCTTTCACATTATGTTGTTCGTATGATCCAAGGTGTGCAGTCAGTGTGTGTGCACAGCTTGGGGCTCATGGTTGGTGAGAATGAGAGGTGATACAGTTGGGTTGACTTCGTCCTACTCTGAGTCGAGCTGCTGTTCAGTTCAGCAGACCAAGAACCCAAGGAAAAGAAACTTTTGCCCACGATCCTCAGCCACCCTGACCCCAGAGGCCATGTCTCTAATTCCAAGGTGCTCTGTTGCACACAGAGCCCTGTTCTCACACTGACGTAGCCTGCATCCCATGCTGCTTGGGCATGTTGCCCATTTCCAGCAACACCAGCAAGCGTTATTTTCCTTGCTTCCAGGATGTCCTCCTTCCACATATTGAATGCGTGGCTTGGGACAGCAGTGTGCACAGAAGACTTGCTAGTGTTACACTCCATAGAGGAAAGACTTCATGACCAAAGCATGCAATTTAAAATGAATAAGTAATGAGGTTTATTATCCTAATATTCTAAATTCAATCTAAAAGTAGCAAAACAATAATAAAATAAATAACAATAAACGAGAACCTGGAATACAGGTGGGTGATCCACCTCTGCTCTACAGGTGGTGCTGGCTGGAACATAGTAGGTCATTCTCAATTTTAACAAGTTAAACTCAGGTAGAGATGAAGTGTGGTCTGCTCTTTCTAAGTTGCCAGTAGCAGGTAGAAATCCCTGTCCAGGAGCTGGTGCATCTACAGCCACATCTGGAGGTGGCTCTGTATGGGCTGGTGTGGGCAGATCCTCCTCTAATGCAGCAGTCAGGAGATGTGTAGGCTCGGCTGCAGACACACTGTGTGCCATGATCTCAGGTACCACAGCACCCTCTAGGGGCTCCAGCTCCCCCTGAGGGTTCAATGAAGATGTTGGTCTAGGGCCCAGAGTCTCTGGCATCCCCGAGAGTACTGCCCCAGAGGAGGGCTCCGGATCTAAGGACAGAAAGAGGTGGATAGTCAGTGGAAGGGTCTTTTAAGGGAACATATGGGAGATTCAGCATGGAATGAGCTTCCCCAAGATGAGTGTCTTTTCCCGAGACTTCCAAAATGTGTGCAAACCCTCTCCCTGAAAGAGAATTCTCAGTCCCTGTCCCTACAACAGGACAACCTATCTGACTGGATCCCACTTCTGTTTGCAGACCAAAGGCCAGCTTATGGCCCCTCCATGGTGTAACCTGGCACTACACCCTCCCTTCCCACCTAATCAGACACCTACCACAGGCCTCCTCATCTTTGGGTGTTGCCTTCTTGGACTCCTGCTCCTCCTTTTTTGACAAGAGGTCCTCTACACGAATGACCAGGTATGAAAAAGGCATGTTGAGATTCACATAGTCCATGAACTTTTTCAGTCTGTCCAGGTCCAGATTCTTTAAAAAATCCTCTGGATATTTCTCAATCCACATTGCCAGGAAGTGCATTATTGCGCTAAGGCAGGTGGACAAAGAAAACAGTGAGAAGCCTGCCCAGTCTTTGCCTGTGCTGCAAAGGTTCCATGTGGACAAGGCAGAGGCTGTTCAGTCTGTGTACCGTTGGGCACGGTGGGAAGTATTTTGCAGTCATGTGTCAAGGGGTTCTAACACTTTCTGTCCTGTCCAGTGGAGGACAGTCTGGGCAAAAAGCTTGGCTGCAGTGGGGATGGATTCCCACAGGGACGGACTTTTAGCTTCCATCCTCCCCATTACTCCTCAGAGTCCAGGAGGCCACTCAAGATCTTTGTTATTTACCCCATCTCGGTCAGTTCCTAGGGTTTGTTCCTCTGGTGGAAATCCCATAGAAGGGTCCCTGGCAATAGCCTAACCCCCAACGTGAACCCCCAAATACTCCAGTTTTCTGATGGGAGCTTATCTCCCTATTCACCCAAAGCACACTCACTACTTTTCCTCGATGTCGTGAATACTGTCCAACCAAAGGGGGCCGGACCCGTACCACAACAAAAAAAA